TAGGTGTCAAATTTATATACTGAAAATATCAAGGACAGATGTGCCTGACATCTTAGAAAACACATAGTTTACACATGACACAAAACTTCAAAACTTTACACGTGATACAAAACTAGGATTAACTTCTTCAACTCCATGTAACCTTTGGGTAGGCCCATCATTACAAACTTATGTTGTGCAAAGAGACTGCTCAAACGCACAAATCTTACTTTATATTGTAGTCAGGATGCAAAAAATATCAAATATTGCATGCCAAACACAAGCAAATGTATAAACAATGATGTACCATTTTCTACTCACTATAACAATGCAGCTATAAAATGGCAATTAATTGAATATTTAACTCAATAACTGTAATATAACTCAGTGGAACAAACAGAATATAGACATTCTGTCAAATGTTATTGAAAAAATTGTTTCTCCGACTTGAAAACTACTTTTTAAAGTGAGTATTGGGACCACTGAGGTTTGAGGGATGGCAATGTCAGTTTGTTTGTTGGTCCATTTTTATATCAACTATTAGATGGATTGTCATTGACATTCATGATTCCCAGAGGAGGAATCCTACTGACTTATTGCACCATCATCAAGTTTGATATTTGTGGTTTTGTTTGAAATGTCTCGACAACTAGTTAATGTATTGACATGAAATTTGGTTTACACATTTATGTTCTCCCTTTAAGATGATTTGTAATAACTTTTGTGATCCCTTGACTTTTAATCTAGCGCCATCATCAGGTCAAAATGTGTAGTGACCGAAATAAGGACCAAATATTTGAAAAACTAACGACACTAATTAGCAAATTTTACCATGCTAACACACTAAACTAAGATGATGTTAAACAGTATACTGCAAAACTTCAGCTTGTTAACATGCTAAAGTTAGCATTTAGCACAAAGCACCATTTTGCCGAAGTACAGCTTGACGGAGCCACTAGTGCGGCTGTAGACTTTTACTCTTATAACACAGCAGTGCTAAGACTTTGAAAACTAATTTTCCCGCATCAACAGTTGAAATAAAGGGGCATAATGTCAAACAGCTTTTCAGATACCAGAGGTTTATTTTCTCATCCAAATCACAACACACCGAAAATAGAGAACAAAAGAAGTGTAAACTGTGTGGGTGAGATGAAAAAACCCCAAGGGACTCATAAAACATCTCAGCCCAAGAGGAAAAAAACATACGATGGCAACAGCAAACACAGGCAATTGCCGAAAAACAATAAAAGGCATAAAATAAAGATAAAGAACAAACAAATATAGACCATGGTAATGAAAATTAAATCAAAGGGAAAGGGGGTGTATGTAAGTCACAAGTTCAGTCACAACTCATTAGGGTTTGAATCCAAGTCCTGGAGTTGTCTGCTATTAAATCAATTTACACTTAGAAAGAAGCATTTTCCCTTGTTGATCCAAAGCCCTGTATCTGAGTACAACAATACCACTCTGTTTTTCATATAGCGAGTTTATCCTATTGATTGCACAGGCAAAAATTTTAAGAGAACTGCCAACTCTTAGGCCCATGCATTATACATTATACCGTTGTACAGGATTGAATGAGGTTGCCTCTGAAATCTCTCATGGCTGGACGATCTCCAGAGCCTCTCTCTCATTTTCTCTATGCAAAGGTGTTGCTCTTTGTCCCTGTTCGCCTCTATAGCGTCTTTATGCAGGGCTGCAGCAGGCACTGCTCTTTTGTTGCTATGGATCTTTCCAGTGATAACTCAGCCCTGATGGCAAAATGGCCCATTGAAACTGAAAGGATATGGCGTTTCTCATCTCCAGAGTAAGAGGATACCTTTTGTGCATCTGCGTGTGTGAATACATGTATGTTATAAAGGGAATGTTTGAGCACAGAGGTATTTTCCTCTGCCTAACTGAGTGGCCTTATATGTGAGTGACTGTGTTTTTCTGTGTGTTATTTTGAGTGTGTGTGTGTGTGTGTGTGTGTGTGTATGTGATGGATAATGAGTCTGCACAATGAGGGCTCATATTAACCCTCTAGGGTATGTGACATCATCGTTTCCAAACAGGTTGGTCGATAAGAAAAAAGCCTTGTCATAATACACACACACACACACACACACACTAACACAGACAATGAAAGACTGTTTTAACTGAGCCACAGTGAAGGGAAAGATTGTGCCAGTTGTTTCTTTAAAAAAAAAAAGACCTTTCCCAATACCTGTTTTTTAAAATATAACTCAGATCAGCTTTTTATGATTAGAACACCATGGAGGTATATATTATTTGGTTTTTAAGTCCAAGTCAAGTCTCAAGTCTTTGATATTTGACTTACAAGTCAGAAAGCAAGTTTTTCCAGTCCATCAGTGCTTAGTATGCTTATTACAATAGCACAACAAACAAAATCCCAACAACATTGGTGGAATGTAACTAAGTACATTTACTCAAGTACTGTACTTAAATACAGATTCTTTTTTTAATGTATTTTTTAGGCTTTTATTGCCTTTAATTGATAGTGACAGCTAAAGAGTTATAAGAAAGGGGGGAGAGAGAGAGGGGATGACACGTAGCAAAGGGCCACAGGGGCGCCACCACCTCTACCATTCGAGCTATCCGGGTGCCCCTTAAGTACAAATTCAAGGTACTTGTACTTTACTTGCAACTTTATACTTCTACTCCACTACATCTCAGAGGCAAATATTATACTTTTTACTGTGCTATGTTCTCCTTCCTGTTCAGTGAAAACCATGTATCTCCAAATGATTTTGAATGTGACTTTTTCTGATAAACTGAAGGATCAAGTGTTCCTTAAAAACCCTCCTTGGGTTAACCGGAAAATGCATTGTCACAAAGCTAAAAACAGGACTGTTTTTCTGATATGTGGTTCTCACAGGACAATGATGATATGAACATGTGATGATCTTATATAATATGATGCATTGCTGTAGATTAAACTACCCAACAGTATATAAAGTAGTAAAATCAATTACTGACAGGGACCATTGTACTGCACAATGAGTACATTTACTTTTGGGTAGCCAACCAGAATCTCTATAGCTCCATACTGTCTCCATAACAATGTCAGTCCACCACTTTAGTCCAGAGTGATAAATCTCTATACAACTACTGGATGGATTCATTTTGCACAGACATACATTGGTTCCCAGAAGATGAATCCTGATGACTTTGGTCATCCCTGACCAACCCCCAGCTGGTCAAAACTGTCACTTAATCAGTCAAATATAATATTCTATACATTTTAATCATCCATTTAATAGATGGATTGGCATACAATTTGGTACATGGTTCCCAGAGGATGAATTCCAGTGACTTAGATGATCTCCCGACCTTTCCTCTAGTGCCACCATAGCTCAAAGCACCGCTGTGCTTTAGTTCAGCCTCACAGAGCTGCCAGTGGAGCCTGTAGTCAGAGTCTTGTTAAATATTTATTGACCTGAGGTTGAGTCTACTCAGATTTTTGTCTCTTCAAGTCTAATCTTCAGGCAGTCAAGTTGAGTCTCAAGCCTTCAGCTCTGATAATTTCATACTTTAAGTGACTTGAATGACTCCTTCCCTCCTCCTTCTTCTATTCTCTGAGCAAATCTTTTCTCTCACTTCTCCTCATCTCCTCTCCTCTTGACCTTCCCTGTCCTCTCCTCCTTTCCCCTCCTCCACTTCTCTCGCTTTATCTCCTCTAGTTTCCTGAGGTATTGGGGGTATCGTCTCGCCACTGAGTCTGATGTTGTGCTGTCTCTTCCTGCATTGAGGAGCTAATCTCTCCCTTTAGACTCTGAGACTTGGATAATGTCCCTGTTAGTCTGCGGCATCTGTCTCTCTCTCTGTGTCTTTCTCCTCCCCGCTTCAAACTACATCCATCTGTGAAATTTGGATGGGTGGATGGAGAGAGGAGGGAAGGAAAAGATCAATGAGTAGAAGATCAATAGGAAAGCCCTTGATCCTTCACTCATTCCTCCCACTGGACATCTGAGAGGCTCACACACAGCTCTGCCCACCTCTGTGGCTCTCTCTGATGGACTCTGAGCTTATGCCACAAGTGGATACTTTGATTCTTTACACATTTCGTAGGGAATGAAACTGTATGTTGACACTTCAATATCAAATGCATGAATCTAGTCTCAAAGTGTGTCTCCCGGTGCAAGGGTATTTTGTATGGTAAGGTCTTGCTGCTGCCTTGTACGTGTTTTGTTGTCTGATGGGACATCTGGTGGTGCCTTACTGGTAATGCAGCTCTGCAATCTGATGTGGATGTTTTCCCGCTCAAAGTGACCTAGTTGCACAGTGGAGTGCTGGCTGCTCCTTCTACTGTATGTGTGGGAGAAAAGGTGCAACTAACAAATACTGTATGTCTCAGATGAATGCACACATCTTATTTTGTTATCTTTCTTTATTAACTTACTTCACTGGAGCAGCTTTTAGGGTCAACTTTAGGGTATGTGTGTGTGTGAAGTAATGCATTAAAAGGCGACTATGTATGGGGGCTCCTCAAACTAATAAAATGTTAATTGAGTTCACTTTGTGCTCTGTTATCATTGCACTAACAACAGGACCAGGCATGCAGCTGATTTCATTGTGTATAATGTGCAACAGCAAACATCTCCTGATCTACTTCCACTTCTCAATGTTTTCTTGACTTATAAAAAAAGTGGTAAAAGTCCGGCTGTAAATCACTAACACGACTGTATAAAAGCCCATGCTGAAGGCGGGATGCTGCATGGGTGCCCGTCAGCGTGCGTCCATGCGCTGCGCCGCAACTGCGCAGCCCTGCTGATCCTGAAAGCTTCTCCTTGTGTTGTGAATGGCGCAACAATTGAGCAACATGGTGTGAAGATCTGTTTTTATTTATCGCTTGCACACACGCACAGCATTTGTGGGAGGAAACAATACATCCACATCCACGCTGCGGCACGGCTGGGTGTTTTCTGTTTGGATTTTGGAAATTAAGAGCGCCTTTTTTTGGGTGTGGGGGGGGGTTAAATGCAGATGTTTTGTTCTGCTGAAG